AAGGATTTCAGTATAGAATAGTAGATTGCCACACTCTTCTCCCCCTGTCTTAGGTTCTTCACATCACTTTTCAGCTTGTAGACTGTAGCCACATTCAACTTCTGTGAATAAGTTTCAATAACACTGCCCCAGATCTCCTTGGCAGAGGACATCCAGAGATAGTACTGACTTATATGAGGCTGCATAGGGTTGACTAACCATCCTATGACAGTATAGTTCGCCTGCATCCATTTCTTATATTCAGGGTCTGTCTCTTCAGGTTTCACTTTACTGCCTATGAGGTACCCTAATTTTCCTCTACTGCAGACATAAATCCTTATAGATTGTGCCCAAGCAAAATAATTTGTCCCATCTAGCTTGATCGTGGTCACACCAGTCAAAACGGAATCTATCGAGCCAAGCCCAAAAACCGGCACATGCTTGAACTCACTTCCGTATTGCTCCATTAATCAAATGAAAATCAAAAAACCAGAAATTCGGTCCTTATAAACTTACTTGAAGTCAAACCAGTACCCAGATGCTTGAAAACTAGGGTTTCACTACGTCCGGCTGTTGGGGAGAAAGAGAGAAGATGTAGCCGCTCCTACCAGAGCTTCCCAATCTCTTCCAAACCTGAACCGCCCTCTTTTAGAAGTCAAAAGACACCTCCCAAGCACAGAGTGCCACACCCAAAGCTTCACTTTTACTTGTAACTTCGAAAATCTCTAATTGGATAGGGTTTTGGGCAGAAACAATACAGCACCACTTCTTGGCAATATCCGACCAGATTTACACTCTCCAAACCCTCTACCAACTAGACCAAAGATCCTCTGAACTATAGAGAACCTATCTCTCCATACRCTCTCTTAATCGAAGGRTGTATGGGAAAAGAGAAAGAAGAAAAGAAGGAAGAAAGAAACCTGCTCTGATACCAAGATGTAAATCAATCCTCTAAATCTGATGTAAACTTGGGAAAAAGTAGAGAGAAAAAAGGAAGAAAAGAAGAGAATAGCAGTGCAAGAGAAGGAAGATGGAGAAAAGAGGAGGAAGAAGAAGAGTTTGAATTTCTTCCCTCCCTTCTCTAATCCTTTTACTAAACTTCAATCTGAACATAATTACAAGTATACCCTTAAGTGGGCAGCCAGCTAGGCAGTAACATAAAGAGAACTAGCAAAAGAAATAGCAGGCCCATTAGCTAACAAATAAAAAAAACATACTACAAGAAAAGATACTAGGGCCCATTCAGCCCAGTCTCTTTACAAGAAGGCACAGAAGGGTTCCAAATTTTCACCACTGGAATTTTAGGATGCACAGCTTCATTTAGAACCTCTGCAAAAGAGCTAACCGAGCAACTACCATCCACACTAAACTTCCAGATCCAAGAGTCCTCAGACGACAAGTCAATGGACTGCCTGTGAAGCAACCCCAAGAGATCTGCAACTTTCCCAATTTCCCAGTCCTGAAATGACCTTCTAAAAGAAGGGCTCCAAATAATAGTGCCCCCACTCACTTGAAATCGACTAGCCACCGATCCATTTTGATTTTCCGCAATCTGAAACAGCTGAGGGAATACTTCAGCCAGGGGTGTACTTTCACACCAAGTATCCCTCCAGAAACGCAACCTATTCCCATTCCCCACTTTTGAAGTTAGATTACTACTCATCCAAGGTAGAACTTCCATGACTTTTTTCCACAGTGAGCAACCTAAAGACTTCAATTGATTAGTGGTTACCCACTTCCCACTGTCAGTCTCATATTTTGCTGAAATTAATTTCCTCCACCATCTGTCTTTTTCTTTCTCAAATCTCCAAATCCATTTTCCCAAGAGAGCTTTATTAAACAACTTAAGCTTCCTGATCCCCAGCCCCCCTTTCTCCTTAGGGCAACATACCTGGTCCCAATTAACCAAATGACATTTCTTTTCCTCCTCCTAGCCCCTCCAAAGAAAATCTCTTTGGATTTTCTCAATTCTTTGGGAAACTTTGACTGGAATTGGGAAAAGAGATAGAAAGTAGGCCGAAAGATTAGAAAGCGAGCTTTTTAGTAATGTGCTTCTGCCCCCCAGCAACAGGTACTTGGATTAACAAGACATAAACTTCCTCTCCACTCTTTCAACCACCAGATCCCACACCACTGCAGAGGTGCATTTAGCTCCAAGAGGAAAGCCAAGATAGGAGATAGGCAAGTATCCAATCTGACCAGGTAAATTCTCCGTGAGCTCTTCGAGATTCTCCACTTTACCCACCGGAATCAATCTACTTTTGGTCCAATTTACTCTCAATCCCAAAACCACTTCAAACCAACTAAGCACCCCCAAGAGAATCTTCAGCTGATCAACATCTGCATCGATGAAACATAGAGTATCATCGGCAAACTGTAGCATCTAAACACTTTCCCCACCCGGAGAGACCTCAAAACCCTTCCATAGACCTTCAACCCCCACCTTCTGCACAAATAGAGTTAGAACTTCCATTATGCATATAAACAAAAGAGGGGAGAGGAGATCCCCTTGTCTTAATCCTCTTGAACTTTTAAAGAATCCCATGGAGTGCCCATTAAGCAAAACTGAGAATTTTGGAGAGGAAATACATACCTTAAATCCAATTTCTCCACTTTTGTCCGAACTTCATTTTCTCTAGCACCAAATCCAAACACTTCCAGTTTACATGATCATATGCCTTTTCCAAATCCAGCTTACAAATCAGCCCTGGTTTACCTTCTCTTATTCTTGAGTCAATCAACTCATTTGCCATCAACACACTATCCAACAGCTGCCTACCCAGTACAAACGCAAATTGATTCTCCTCAATAATCACACTAAGAGCCTTCTTCAATCTTTCTGCAAGGACTTTGGATAGAATTTTATAAAAACTGTTTAGKAGACTAATTGGCCTGAAAYCTTTMATGTTTGTTGCACCTTCCACCTTAGGAATAAGGGAGATGAAAGTGCTGTTCAGACTTCTAACCAATGATCCATTTTGGTGATAGTCATGAACACCTTCAATAGATCCCCTTTCACCCCCTCCCAGCACCGTTTATAGAAAATATTTGTCAAGCCATCTGGCCCTTTCACCCCCTCCCCATATTTTTAATTACCTGCCATATCTCATTTTCTGTGAAGGGCGCTTCTAACTCCCTCTGCTGATCCACTGATAGACTTTTGAAAGTGAGCTCTTCTGGAAAGGGCCTTCTTGCTCAGTTTTCTTTAAACAACTCCGAGAAAAAACCCGTGACAATGTTCTTCATTTCTGTCCAGTTTTCACCCACTTGCTCTCCCCGTTCAAGTTTCTCAATTTGATTTGTTCTTTTCCTTGCTTTTACCATTTTGTGAAAAAAACTGGAGTTTTTATCTCCCACTTTAAGCCATTTAACTTTGGCTCTTTAATTCCTCCTTGTAGGCTAATGAATCTAGAGTCACTTTGGCTAGCAGTCTCTTCCTTCTATCTTCCTCTCTAAGGGGACCCACTTCTTCAGCTGAATCCAGTTCTTTAATTACCTCTAGGCACTTTCTTTTTTCCTTGATGATTCACTTTCCAAGATTTCAGCACCTCTTTGATCCCTTTAATCTTATTTGCCAAGATGTAAGAGCTGGTACCCTCCACCTTAAAATCCGCCCATTTTGATATAAGCAAAGGAACCAACTCCTTTTCTTCAAACCAAGCATTTTCCATCTTGAAAGATAGATTACTTCTCACCTGATTCTCCACCTTTCCACATAGTAACTGAATTGGAGAGTGATCCAATAAAGGTCTAGGAAGAGCAACTTGTTTAATTTGCTGGAATGCCTCTTCCCAACTCGAGGAGATTAAAAATCTGTCAAGTTTAACCAGAATCAGGGATTCTTGGTTATTTGTCCAGGTGTTTTGAGCCCCCATCAATGGCAGATCTAAAAGCCCGGCCTGATTAACAAAATCAGCAAATTTTCTTCTGTCCCTCGAGCTCCCATTACCATTGTTTTTTCCCTCAGAAAATCTCACTATATTGAAATCTCCTCCAGCCACCCAAGGCAGGTTTGAGCTATCTCTAGCTACTAACAGCTCCTCCCACAACTTCTCCTTCTCCCCACTATCCGTCGGACCATATACATTAGTGAACATACCTTGAATCCCCCCCCCACTTCCAACACAACTGAGACTGTAAATTCACCAACATGAGAAGAAATTAACTTGCATTTAGATCTGTCCCACAAGGTCAACAAACCTCCTGCACTGCCCCTAGCTGCCTTGCTAACCCACCGCACCTGACCTTGACCCCAAATGCTTCTTACCAAACCTGCATCCATTACTTCCAACTTTGTTTCTCTTTGAAGAATACCACCTCTGGTTTCCACTTATTCAGTAAATTACAAACCACCATTCTCCTACACCCAGAGCCTAAGCCCCGAACATTCCAAGACAAAATAGACAGATCCATTAAACACTCACGACCCTAAAACCCTCTCCCCTCGCTGCTCACTCCCCCTTTCCTGCTGAATCATTCAACCCCCACGCCAATCTCAACATCTCCCTGTTCTGCTTCAACATAGTCATGAGAAGAAAGGAAGAAAGAAAAGAAAATTTAGAAAATATAGGGGATGAACCCCTATTGTTGTTAAAGGAAAACGAAGAAAAGAAAAGGTGGAAGAAGAAGAAGAAGGCAAAAATGATAAACTCATTACACATCATAAATGATACACTCCCACCCATTACAAAAACTGGAAAAACACAGCCTCTAAGAGTCTTCAATGATTGGCACCAAAGAGATGAACTCTTTCAATGCCTCTGATTAGATCTGTCTACCCCTTTTCTTTCCTTCAAAAATTCTAGATTTCCTTTCTCTTAAATGGCCCAACAAATAATGAATGGGGAAAGGTTCCACAAAGGCATTCCCCTTTTTGCTAAAACCCCTACATGGGCAGGACTAAATCAAGTGCTTGGTCAGATAAATAAATATAAAGCACATAGTGAGCAGCTTATTTATAAATCCTAAAATACTGAAAGCTTCACCAATCCAGAGAGTATAGTGTAGGGTCAACTGCATACCAAAACCACGAGGTTCAGAATTCCCATTGTGGTAACCTTTGAAGTCAGGATCACTTTCTGTTCCCCAATTACTGTTTGAAATATTGATGTGTTAAAGGATACGAGTGAAAAACAAGAAACAAGAGAATGAACGATTGTCAAAGAAAAAAAAGGTCAAGAAGAAAGAAAAATAATGGTCATTGCAAGTATCTGATACTTACTGTGTAAGTTCAATTGTAGCCTTTTGGCCAAAGGTCCAAACTGTTCGATCAGTTGGATTTACTGGAGCTTCTGCTGGATTCTACACCAGAAAAATAAGTAAATAATAATAAATGATTGTCTGTAACGAGATGAAAAATACTACTGATAAAAAATAGATCTTACCTCATACCCCATAAAGTACAAGCTGAACTTCATTTCTGGAAAATCCAACCTCTTAAGCAACCTGCAGTATCAAAAAAATAAATAAATAAAGAGAAAGAAAGTACACATAAGGAGGAAGTAATTATCAGATTTCATTTTAATAAGTTAATGCCATAAAAAAAATGTTAACCCATACAGTAAAAGTAAGTTTAATTAAATCCAACCTTCTAAGAGTGAAATTCTAATGAAGAACCAAACAAGTAAATGGTTTTTCAAGCTTCAGTAATATTCTAGAACAAAAACAATAGGGGTTTTTCAAGCCACAGTGATATACAATATACAAATTCATTTGGGTCAGCTCTTCCAGCGTCATTAATGTTGTTGGGCAATATTATTTATGGCTGTATTAAATTTTGCTTTCCCTCACTTGAAGCTTGTTGGTTTAGTCTTGCCTCTGTTTAGTTGCTGGAGGGTTGGACTTTCTGTGTATCATTATCTTTATAAATTCTTTTTGTGTGGCATCATTATATAATAAAATAAATTCCCAGTTAAGTTAATATGAAAAGAATATACATTTCAACTTTGAAATTTCAATATTAAAAGATGGACACCTCAACAGGGGGTAAATAGGGACCATTAGTTGGAGTTCTCCAACTATGTACCAAAATATCAAAAGATGGATACCTCAACAGGCTCAGTTACCTATGCTTTCACATGCTGGAGTCAAATTTTATATAGTTGCCTATTGTAAAGGACATGATTGGAGTACTAGTTCTCACTGGAAAAAAAAAAGATTGGAGTACTAGTAGTGCATCCAATGTCATAGGTTCAATTATTCTCTTTGTTACAGGTCCTGGGCAACAAGATCCTCATTTCTACCTAAAACAGCTTTTTCTTCCCTCTCTCTGGACAACATCCACACAACTCTTATTTTTAAGGCCAACATGTTAATTCTCTAAATTCTAAAACTAGAAGAGCAAGTGAGCAATGCCACTCTTCACTTCAAATCACCAAGGTTGTATGGAAGAGTCCAGATCTGCTAGAAACTAGATGTGTAACAGGCTAGTACACCAAACCAGAAGTAAACATGTCAGTTGTCTGTATGTTCAGATCACTGACTTGGCTTAATTGTGCAATGTTACATATCTTATTCCTAGCATATTCGGGCTCCATATGGAATGGCAATGGCTCCCTTCTTTAAAAGCTCAGGCAATATCTTGAGTTGTTTATTAATAACCTTTTCTTATGAGCAGCATAGAAAAGATTTATCAATGAATACGGAAAAAAAAAAATGAGACTACAAGAACCAAGAAATAGCATGGGAAGCAACCCCACTAAATGAAATAAAGCTACAGACTTTCAGAAGCCTATGCCTCTTATTAGCAATGGAATCTCCTAAAGCATTCACCAAATCGTTGGACTCAAGAGAATGAGGTGTTCACATATCAGGTGATAAATTGGAACCAATAAGCTAATATCTAGGGGATATCGCCTTCTTTAGAAAGCCAAGTAACCAAAGCATGTAGGTATGCATAACTTCTCTAATCTCACTTGTTCAACTACACTACCACATGAACACTATGTATCTAGATATGAGTGCACAGCATGCAACGGAATAGCAACATAAGAAAAACTTCACAATCCAGAGCCAGATGCATTGAACAATCATTATCGGACACAAGAAATTTTCTGGAGAGCAACTTACGACATTCCCAGAACGCGAGAATAGAAATCGAGGCTAACTTTAGGGTCTTTAATTCGAAACATCTACAGAAAAATTGGATCGTCAGTTCCCAGTGCAGATATGGATCTTAGAACTCAGTCAAGAAAAAGAATTAGCCACCAAAAACCAGTTTTAGAATGGAAAGGAAGTCCATAGCTTTAGACATACAGTTTGTTGCATGAAGTATCCTTTAGTGGCTTCATCTGGACTTGTATGGAGACCTTGATTGTTTGAAGGAGATTCCTTCGGCTCTGACGCCATCGAAAACAATCGAAATCGATTCAAATCCTGCAGGACCCATTTTAAGAAAAATGGAGATAAGAAGAATGACGAATTAAACTAAAAATTCTTGACTATACTTGAGAAGAAAACAAATGAACCTTTCTTTTGCTAGTAAGAAAAACAGGGATTGAAAATGAGGGGACATGAGAGTGGAATCTAAAGAAAGAATGACGGGAGATTGAAAAGAAGATCGAAGAGCAAGCCATGGCCTATCGTTTGCCACAATTGTTGAGAGAGAGAGAGAGAGGTACTCGCCTGTGTCCCTTCGATTTTGAGATGATTCTTCGTAGCATGATAGCATCAATGGTTCCTCTCGTGGGATAAATTGGATAATCGGAAGGGGAGCATTTTGGGCCCGGGATTCCGTGGACATAGGTGAGGGTGATCATTCCGAGCCGGCAAATTTCCGGGCTTGAATTAGGTTTGATGCTCGGGCCGTATTGGGCCCGAGTTCAGGCCGAGTTTTCTTGGGCACCGGTTGGTTTCGGTTTGTAAAAAATCATAAATCGATGGTTTGGGTCGGTTTTAGTTTTCGCACATGAAAATCGAAATCGACCCAAACTGAACCGATTTAGTAGTTAGTTTCTAGTTAGTAGTTACAACCTAATTAGTTCCTACTTAACTAAGTTGTCTCTATCCTAGTTACAACCTATCTTAATTTCTAGTCTTCTAGTTAGGAATGACATTAATGGCAAGTATTATAAGACAACTAGACAAGGATTTTTTTTTGAAAATTTTAAAGAAAATAATCAAAGGATCCTAGTTTCTATGGTCTTTTACACCAAATAGGCAACCAATTACAATTAGAATTAGGTGTCCTTTTTTACTTAGATTATAAGGTTTCTTGAAATATACAAATTTCATTATTCTTTTTCTAATACAGTTTGACTTTTTATTTTCTTGATAACTTCTATTCTAACTTGGTCCGCCCCCCTTAGCCCCTCAACTCAAGCACAACCTTTAATACAATTTGACTCTCAAGAATCAAAATTTTGAAATTTCTATTTATTACCATGGTTGAACTTAGAACCAAAACCGACCCAACTTGACTCAAATCGACCAGGTCGGTTTTGCTTAATATAGGTCTATTTCGGTTTCAATTTCAGGTAACCCAACCAGGTCGGATCGGTTGAAAAAATCTCAGTAAACTGACCCAATCCTATCCATGAATAGCCCTAGATACTTTAAGCCCATATATAGAATTAAATACAACATATTATATAAATAGATTAAGTGTATTATACTCAAAGCTTTTAGGCACAGGCCCATGCAGGGTTAAACATTCAATTGATTAGGCCAAAACTTAAAAATGAGCATAATCAAATGACTATAAGCAAATTAACATCAATTGCTCTATGTCCCAGAAATCTTGCCCTAGCTTCACATAGTCTTCCTCTGTGATCTCAATCTAGTACTATGATTATTTTTACTCCATTAACTCATACTAAGGTATCACCATAATTGATCTTGATTTCTAGATGTAATTTAGTTTTGCCTTACAAATTTTAGTTTCATTTATTTATTAGGCACCCGTTTGGGAGGGTTGAAGTTTCTGGGGTGGGCCTTACTTGGATTTCCTATGAAAAATCTGGAGAGCCCACATCGGTTGCCAATCAATCGTTTAAGGGTGGTCTGCTTCAGTATCTTTGAACAGTTCTTCTGAAATGTTTCAAAACAGCCGATCTTCAGCTCAGCCATCGCAAACATGCACTTAATTTGTTCATACCACCTTGTTGGTTTGGGAATTTTCTTTCGAACACTATTTCCAAAAGGTAACCTTTTCTTTATCCATGATTTAATTGATAAAATTTCCCATTATCGGGTGAAGGCATATTTCCTCAGTTTTAGCATCTAAAGAGATGGCAAGTTTGGTCACCATCATCCCCAGCAATCTAAAAAAAAGGATTTGACCTGGCAATCGGGTTGGGTGGGTCGGGTTTGGGTTTGGATTGGGTCAAGACATTTCAGGTTGGGTTATCAAATGCTAGACCCTAACTTTAAATGTTCGGGTTCAGGTTGACCCATGAGATCAATTCGGATCATCCTAAAAAATAAGTGAAATTTAAAAAATAAAGGAAAACTACATAAAAAAATGCCAAAATTAAAAGAACTAACCTTAAAATTCCAAATATAAATAAAAAAACTTGAACATTTAACAATTGAAAGAGTAAACAATAAAGAGTAAAGACTAAATAGAAAAAAAAATTAAAGAGTGGAAACTTCAAACGATGATGCATAAATAGTCCCAATTAGACTTGACAATAGGGTCAACAGGTTGACCCATGACCCAACCCAACCCAACCCAGTTTTTTCCGGGTCGGTCGGGGCGGGTCATCCTCGCATTCAGGTAGCTAAATATGAGACCCTGGCCCTATTTTTCGGGTTGGGTTGGGTCGGGTTCGCAAGTTGGGTCAACTTTTTGCCGGGTCTAGTTGTTGGGAGTTTGGTTTAAAATTAACATGATGATACACTCAATGTTCAAAACTTCAATGGGTATTTCGGGATTTCAATTAGTTCAGGGGGTGGATGGACCTTAAACTAACCCCTTTGAACCGGATTAAAAACTAAAAAAAATAAAGAAAAGCTATCGATACTGCCCAATACGCCTCTACCGGCGTATCAGGCATATTTGAACCTTAGATACACCCAATAGAAATGACACAAGTTGAATGGTACAAACCTCTAGTTTCATTCTATCTACACTTATGGCAATACATGTTCAATTTTGAAACATTTGATTTTTTGCCACCTTTTTGGTCGATCAAATTTTGTTCTCACAAAATTCATCTTCATACCCTTTTGACCTTTTCTCGCAACATTTGGAAACGTGTATTGGAAATATCCCCACACTTGTATGTTTTTATTCATGAGAAGATATTCCCAATGCATGACTAAGGGCTGTGAGGAAAGTACGAGGGATGAAATCCAAAGCACAAGTAGTTTGAGGGAGATGCTCAGCAGGTAATCTCCTTTGGCTTTCGCTGCCTATCAATTGCAGGCCTGATTGCACACTCTTGCACCCTTCTGTATCAAATTCCTTCGATCAAACCATCATTTGCTCGTAACAAAATTGTTCATTGTGCTGTAGCTAATGCTTGTACTATGACTTGGTTTTCTACTTTGGCTGTGTTTGGAAACACTGCAAATGGAGTATAAATTTCGGTTCAGGGTAAATTTGCATTCTGGTTCACTTTTTCCTGCATTTAGCAACATTACATTTATGCATTGACAAATGACATAAAACACGTTTTTCAATACATATTTACATTGATAATAAGATGTAAAAGTACATGAAGTAAATTTGCATTCAAGTGGGCTTTTGATAAAAAAAGGCATATGCTTTATTGGAATTTGTATTTGCATCTATTACAACCAAAAGTCTGTTTGGTAAGAAGATAAATTTGTCAATGCAAAACTAACCCAACTTTACAATTTATATGGACCATTTTACACTCTACTTATTTGCATTCACACTTATTTGTATTGTTTCCTAATGCAACCTTTGGAATTCCTCATACATGAGGTCTGTTGGTCTTACCAGTTACCCCAGAGAACATGCAGTTACAATTAGTGAGTTTGGTCCCATACCTCCATGGATGCCCACTATTCTACTAAACATTGAACTACTAAGTCATCGTATATTTTCTGCTACAATTTGAACCAACCCTCCTCACTCTATGGCCTTGTTTGTTTTGTGGATTTTGGAAGGGGGGAAAGTCGACCAATGGGATTTTGATTCTCATTGACCAATTCTCCCATGTTCTTTTTCAAAATTTAGGTGGGACCCACAGTAAATGCCTTTTCCCTTGGGTATCACTTACCCGAGAGAGTGCTACCCTTCTCCCACTTTGGAAAATTAAATGCTCAAAATATAATATGTCAAAAATGCCATTAAAAAAATATAATTCAAAAAGCATGGACCTGGACCCAAGAGTACTAATGACAAAACATAGAAAAACAAGCCACTTACCTGGGAAAGTGTGTGAGGCAAAAGAACATGCGGAAGTTGAAAGGTCTCATTTACCTGAGTAAATTTAACAAAAAAGAACATGGGTAAGTATATTTACCCAAGTAAATGGCCTCTTTCTAAACGAATGAGGCCTATATTTTAGGCTAGGGGTGTTAGCGGGTCGAGTTAAGTTATAAACCTACACTGATCCAATTGATTTGATTTTAGAATGGGTTCAAGTTGTGATGGGCTCGTCTTGAATTTGATCCGTTAACATTGCAGAATTGAAGATTTTACATATATAAAATTAGTTGAGTATAGGGGTGCAAGTTGGGCCAAGTTAGGTTAGATTCAGGGCAATTCCAATCTAACCCTAAGTTCTGAATTCTAAACCCTAACCCAATCCAATTTAGTAAATCTTGATTAGGAATGGTTTTGGATTGAGTTGGGCCAAATATTTGGTTATGTGAACTTGGCCTGATAGAAAAACATTAGGCTTGATATACAATATAAACTTCATATATTGAAGTTCACTGTGAGCCAAATTTTATATAAAAAAATTAAGAAATGTATACGTATAAAAAATTAAAAGTATGTATATAAAATTATTTTTATTATATGTATAAACAATTAAAAATATTATATATACAATATAAACTCAATTAGGCTTACAAACTTCACACGTTGAGTTTTATTGGGCTCATGCTCGAATCAAAGTTCAATTTAGACCAAGCGCCAAGCTTTTAACAAGCTGAGCTCAAATTTGGGGTGCAACTTGGGTAGGCTCAACTTGAGCCAAATCTGTATCCCCCTTTTCATTTAGATGGATGAAATTGGTTAGAATTACTTTGGATTGGGTTCAGGTTGAGCCAAAGTTGATTCATTGACCTCCCCAATTAAGACATTTTGTCACTTCAAATAATGCGCCATTGCACCTATTCACTCTATGGGTAGGGGTGCAACTTTGGTGGGCTCAGGTTAGATTAGCGTAAGTTAGTATTTTATAGGGAGAATGACGGTTCAGCCTAGGGTCAGAATTTGTAGGCCCAAAGTAGTGTTAGGGTAGGTGTTAGCTCAGAATTGATGCCAATTCATGGGCTGGCGTTGGTGTATAAAGTGTGGGTTATTGACAACTTGAATATTTATAACTCTACAGTGAAAATCAGAAATATGCATCAAGTCTATCGATACTTTTCCGTATTTTATACTTACATTAGATTCAGGTCTTCAGACTGTCCCATTCAAAATTTGACAAAATCCCAACCCGAGTCCGCCCAAATTGAA